TAATATCTTCAAAAAAAGATTATTAATTTTTCGTAAATGCATTTATAAATTTGAACCATTTTTTGAAATATAAATAACTTTCATAATGCAGCAACCTAATACTATATTATCTACGCTTTAATTATGAACTTAAAACTATTTATTCACTTAATTACCATTCCAAAATAATAGTTTTTATAAGAAAATGAATACATTTTCGGAAAGTTCTTCGGTCGTAAACTTATATTCTTTTATTGCTTAAATCTCTTTCACAAAGATTCATATTTTAAGCAATTTCTTACTATCGATAAAATTCTAATGATGGTACCGCAATTTCCCATTGTTGTTTGTGCATTTTCATTGGTCGGAAAATCACTTGTTGGATCGAGGTTTTCCTCCTTCATTTCCATATTGTTTTGGTTGTCATAAGCATAAAATTAACAAAAGTCATGAAGGTATTGTTATTCTATAAATATTTTTTCATCTCTAATTTAAAGTTACTTACCTGTACCAACCTGCACTGCTATTATCACGCTTTTAATTCAAAAGTTTAAAACTAAGAGGATTGTAGTTTGTTAATTATTATTACGATGCGACCCTTCACTACATTTTAAGTTAAAGTAATTTAGAAAGGAGGTCTAATCTTATTATCAATTTTACCATTAATATTTTTGCACAAATAATATTAATATACTGTTATAAATTAAAATTAAAGAGATCTGTTAAATGATATAGAACTTAACGACCAGGTACAAGCACAAGGAGATGCAAGCAAAAATAGTATTTTATATTTCCGCCCGTTTGGTAAGCGAAAATATTAAATTACGGTTTTAAATTCCCCGAACTTATTTGAACAAAATAATGTTATAACAATATAGAAGTTATTTTAAAAATTGATTACTTCGAAAAATTACCTCCGTGCACCAATAGATTTGAATATTTATAATACTGATATAAAATAATATTTTGACATGAGAAGTGGAGGCACAAGAGTAAGCAAAAAGAATTCATTTTAGTACATATATGTTAAGTCAACTTTAGTAGAGAAAAAGTTTTTTTCCAAGAAAAAACAATTTCTGCAAAGCAATCGACTAGGTTTATGAGCGGCAGAGAGAAAGGGGCTTAGCCCCCTAGTAGAAAGATATTTTTAAATCCAGCATAGTTTTACATGTAATACCTAGCTGCCTTGTAAACGAAATAGCATCACTTCTCTGTTGGGGGATTATTGCCACAGCTTAGTGTTCATACCTAATAATTTACGTAATACATTGAAATAAGAAATAATTTTTATAAGCGTACTGAATACTTTTAAATTTTCCGATGCGCAATGAAGGTCAACTCAATAACAAATTGATGTTTCAATATTTAAATTTCTGTAACATGATGAAACAAAGCTATGGATTCTAACGAAAACGTGAGCTTAGCAATCAGAAAAATGAAACAGACCACGCATTAAAATTGGAACCTGTCTTGTTCATTTTTCTGCATTCTATAAATAGCTTTAATCAAATATGTATCATAGCTCTTCAATTTGAACAAATGGCTGAGACTGAATTGATGTATGCTAATTCAAACGTGAGAAACTTTACTCATACTTTTCGTTCGTGTCATAAAAATCAAAGAAAAACATTTATTTAATCAACAGTTCTTTTTGCATGAAACGGTTTGTATATAAATATATCGTTTTGAGATAAATTTTAAAATTACAAGAAAACTTGAACAATATCTTATAGATTATTTTCAAGATAAGATAGATAAGGTAAGATTAAGATTATTTTCTGATATTTTGTTTTAAAGAAATGAAATTATAATTATCTTTGTAACTATAGCATTTTTCATAAACTAAGACATTACTTAGTAAACAAGCTAATTATTCATTGACAAATTCCTTATTAATTGATTTACTTAATAACATGGATAAGACATGGTTTTCTAGTAAATAAAACATTAGACAAAGTGATATTTTCAGGCTTCGGTCAATTAACCTTTAACCTGTCTAACTAGCATATTGTAATGTTTCTTGTGGCTTGTTCTAATTTAGTTTTAAGAAATGCTTTGTCAATATGTTTTTGCGCAGATTTTCCTTTTATACGGAATCTTATTATTCGTTCATAGATTATGCACGTAACATAGTAAATTATTAATGAAAGTTACATGTTTTAGGTATTATAAGGAACAAATTATGGTCTTGATGATAATATACTTATAATTTTGCTAATGAAAGTTACTAGTTAAGCATTGAATATGCAAGTTGCACTTATTTACTTGCGAAGTTCAGTGTTTTTATTTGTACTTTCGTATTTAGTTAAGAGAGAAAGCTTTTTTTTAACAGAAATATTTTTCCCGATGTCCACCCAATTGACACTCGTCATTCAGGTATCTGTAGGGCATATTTGTTGGTCACTTTTTCAGAGGCACCATATTAGATGTGCCAACGTCACTCTCACAGTAAGGACAGATAGCACAGATAATAATATAACACCAATGCCTTGTCCGGGATTTAAACCCAGGGCCTTTCTGGTGTGAGACCAGTTCCCCAACAACTACACAGTCCTGTCGGAATTAACAGAAATATTGTAAGAATATTATTTTTTTTCTAAATTTGGTTTTTATTTATTAGATTTTATCGATGCAATGATCGAAATTTCAAATTCTAAAATCTAATTATAATTTTAATACTAAAAAGTATTGTTTTTATCCTCTGTATTGTCAAACCTATAGATGTCAGACGAAAATGAATTAATAATTAATTTCAAATTTAGTCGGCTATTCTCTAATTCTTTAAACTCTTTTAAGTATACTGCATTTTGAAATATTTATTAAATAAACTGTAATAAATAAATATTGTATTATTCTATAAATATCTACAGCATTTGGGAAATTTAGCTTTCCATTATTTGGGTAGTGATCTGTTAGCTTTTTTATCTGAATTATGGTGAATATTATATTGCAATTTCATATTTTTGTGCATGCTCTTTAAATGTTAATGTATGTCCTTTCTTACAATTCTGATACAGAGAAATTCGTTTAAGTACTACATGGTTGCATTACTTTGCTCTATTGCTACGTAATACTATGATATTGAGGGGATTTATCAACTCGTATTTTCCTTAAAAACCTTTTAAGAATTAAGGTTAGCAAATTGACATTTTTAATTTTGTTTAAGTTTTTAGGATATTTCCTTCATTTATAGTACTAATTGCGCTTTTTTTCCAATTTTTCAAAAAAAAATTTTTCGAAGTATTGTGAAGACAAAACTAAAGATCCTCTGAAATTTTGAGAAAAACATAACATTTTAAATTCTTTTGTGGAGCAAATGAATTTTGAAATTGACCATCATTTATGTTCTACTACGTTCATACTAAATATTAAGATAAAAATACTTTCAATGTGTACAGATCAAAATACTACTGTAGTGTGTGCAGTACATACATACTCAGTGTTTACACTCTCTGTATGGTAGGTCAAAAGTAATTCTAATATCTTCAAAAAAAGGCAACTTTCTGAGATAGTTTCGCTCAAAATTCCTTAATACCAGCATTGGACAACAAATTTCTGCGAATGCAAGCTAATGAATAGTACTTAAAATAAATCCATTCGCGGTATATATTTATCTTGTCCCTAACATTTTTATATTTTTTAGTAATAAAAGTATTTTATTTTGTATGGTTTTGGTCACCAATTTGTTTTTTTTATGTCCTAAATGAAGAGATTGGCAAGGAAAAATTTAAGTATAGGAAGAACTAAAAAATGAAAATTTCATACAATAATCTACACATACATCAAGTTTTTTTGTATTGGTAATAAAATAATGTGTTTTTCAAAATAAAAGTGGCAAATGTTTACAACGAAAGTGTTGGGATAGTTTAAAAGAAATTCGCCAATGAAAAGATTGTTCGAAGATGCATACTCTGCTTTTTTTAAAAAACTATTTTGAGCAAAAATATTCATTAACTAAATTTCTTTTTTTTTTGAAATTTTTAAAATTTTTCATTCCAGACATTTTTTTATCATAGAAAAATATATTAGAGTTAAAAATGCTTGAACTCATTCAGAGTGAAGACTGAGTTTTTTAAAGTTAAAAATGTCAATCAGAAATCTGCAGTGAATATCCGCTTCAATAGTACAAATTTTTTGCTACTTAATCAAATAAATTCTTTCATTCTATTATATATCATATTTTTTACAGGATGAAACCATCAGTAAGGACAAGCATGTATATGACTATTTTCTTAGTTCTTGCAATTTCGCAACTTAGCTCAGCAGCGGACTGCTCTACTGATCAGTGTGGAGATAACGGCTATTCAATCCTATGTTATCAAGGCTATAGAGCAGTCTATGAACGGTGCACTTGCTGCATTAAATGTGAACAAGTTTTAGGTAAGTTAATTTCCTTTATGAGTTAGATTCTTAAATTAATTCTAACTTAATTGTAATGTTGACATTATGTCATGATATGAGCTTCTCAAGGTACTTAACACATTAAAAATACATAAATTATACAAAAATATTTACTTTCGGAAAAACTGAGATATCACAAAGGGATAAAAATGTATGTCGTTTATGCAGGAAATATTTTTGGCAATTTTCTTTAAAATGCCTGTAAATCTTTCGTTCTGTTCAACTATACAATGAGAAAACAAACTAGATTTATGAATAGTATATTAGACACCTAAACAAATTTTATTTAATTTCAAAATTAAGCAATTATTGAATTTAATATTAGCTTCAAAACTGAAAATATTATGTTTCTTTCTTAAGTAGTAATTTAAGTTTATTTTGTTTAAAATGTATAGCAAAAATTACTCTTTATTTTTGTCTAATCATGGTTAGTTTGAAGTATTAAACAGCAAAGTTTAAGATGAAAGGTATCAGAATAAAACTTGCATATTTCTTCCTTCTGAAATTAAATTTTAAAAAAATGGAATGCAAAGTTGAAAAAGAATTTAATAATTTTCTGAGCTCATAATAAAGTAAAAATTTGTAAATAACAATATTTTTCACATTTCATGAAATTAGATTTTCCGAAATATCACACACACACGCACGCACATATATATATATATATAATATATA